TGCGAGGATACTGTGGTTGGAATACAAGGCGCGCTTTGCAGGTTCTTGATACCATTTTTCCCAAGGTATTGCAAATTGCCCCTTCTTTCTCCTATCCTTTCACATTGATTTATTGCTTCAATTTACTAATAAAGACTCACCCTTTTGTTCTCTTGTCTTCTATAACACAGAATGCCACCCAGCAACCGTCCTTGATAATTGTGTACTTTGGCGGTAATGATTCTGTTCTTTCACATCCTACTGGCCTTGGTCAACATGTACCTCTCCAAGAATACATTGAAAATATGAACAAGATTGCTAACCATCTCAAGGTATACAACTTTTTGTCCTAGTTATTAATATACCATACAAATAGTTCATTATTCAAGCAATAGTTTCTTGCATCATATTATTACTTGTTGTAGTTGTTGATACAAATTTTGACACTTGCTAACAATTTCCAGAGTCTCTCAAACAAGACTCGCCTTGTATTTCTCACTGCTCCGCCTTGCAATGAAGTGCAAATTTATGGAAACAGGTTTTGACTGCAATTTATTTGCTATGTTACACACCAATTATCCTAAAAGATCATAATATTAGACTAAGATATACGATTTTACATCACTAGCATATGATACAAATTTGAGAATGATGTTACTATTCAAGCCCTTTTGACATTCTTACTCCGTGGACGTCAACCAGTTGTATACAGAGACCACCAAGGAATAACGAATCGTGTAGAATATATTCAGAAGCGTGCTTGGAGCTATGCCGCGAGATGAATATCAAGGCTATTGATCTGTGGTCTGCAATCCAAAAAAGGGATGACTGGCGAGATGTTTGCTTCACGTAAGTTTGCTCTCATATCACCCTTTAATGCAATGTCGGTGTAAGACTTTTTACACTACCAACAAATCATAAATCATCCTCTGTTATAACTTTTTAGTAACAATTTTGATTGATTATATCAAATGTGCTTATCGTTCAGTCATTTTCTTGAATGTTATTTGATAGAGATGGAATTCATTTGACACATGAGGGTAGCAAGATAGTGGTAAAAGAGATACTTAATACACTCAAAGAAGCTGATTGGGAACCTTGCTTGCATTGGAAGTCACTGCCAAATGAATTTGGAGAAGATTCGCCTTATGACCCACTTGGCTCAGATGAAAAAACTATTAATGTTGCCAGCTTGACCGTACTGGAAACTATGGAATATGACTGATGTTCATCTGGGAGCTGAAGACATGCCACAGACCATTGAATCATTAGGCATCAACCACAAATAACAGGAATTTAGAACTCTGTCTAATTATGTCAGGTTTTTCACCATGCGAGTTCTAAGACCTCTCCGACTATAATTGATTATGTAAATTATTCATAAGATTTCGTGATTTTATGGATTTTATGTCGTTAGCAAAAAGTTTTATGGATTTGGATCAAAATTTTCCACTTCCATTTGTCCTTATTTTTCCTTCATAGTTTCCAATGCGATAAAATTGAGACTGTTGCGTGCTCACTCAGGGCTGGATTCGAGTCCTGGAATAAACAACTTAGTCTGAGTGCTCTGGATGCAATTGATATTTTTAATTGATGCTTGTTTGGCTCTTGAAGACCAAAAATAAACAACTTGGTCTCATTTCATACCATAAGAAAAACAGACCAGTTGATTATCTATTTTAAATTTTTATATTCAAATTATTGGGTTAAAATTTACTTTAACCCATTGACCGAAGACACTTACATATTTCTTACAAAGCAAGTAACCTCCTAACTTAATTGATTTTCATCAATATCTAACATAACATCTTCAACTTCCTTTTCTTTATTCCAGACTTATCTCTCATTTTCAGCAAAGACAACATTTATGCTTATAATTATTTTCTTGGATATATAGTTATATAGCATATATGCCTTAGATGTATCCTTGACTTCCAAGAAGATGCACTTCATGCTCTTATCATCTAGTTTCCTTCTTTGGACATATAGTATGTGTGCATAGACAATGCATCCAAAGATTGTAAAGTGTTAAGTTGAGGGTTTTGATTTTTTCCAAGCTTCTTTAGGAGTGATCTCTGGTATGGAAGCAATATGACTTTTGTTAAGTACATTTGCCCAGTTCACAACTTCAAGCCAAAATATATTTGGTATTACTCTCTTTGTTAACATGCGTTCATGAGAGGGTTATGTTATTCCTTTCAACCACTCCATTTTGCTAAGGAGTGTAGGTTGTAGTAAGTTATTTTTTGATCCCATTTGCTTCAAAAAAACTTCTTGAATTCGTGAGAGTTGAATTCTCCTCCTATATCGATCCTTAGGCAATGAATTATCTTTCAAGTTTCTTTTTCAATCATTGTTTTAAGAAACTTAAAGTGGTTTAATGCACTAGATTTTTCATTTATAAAGTACATCAAGTTTTCCTACTGAAATCGTCTATGAAATTCGGTATATACCGCTTGTTGATGTTAGATGAGAGAGTTATAGAGCTATATATGTTCGAGTGTGTAAACTTCAATCTTCTTTCAAATCTCCAATCACTTTTCGTCGAAATTGTTTCTCTATGTTTCTTCCCTACCGTGTCGTCTTCACAAATTTTCTTTGACTCTTTAATTCTAGGAAATCCTTTCACCATATGCCTCTTGTCTAGAATTTTCAATCCCTTCAGGCTCAAGTGACCATACCTACAATGCCATAGGTATTTTCAATCCCTTCAGGCTCAAGCGACCATACCTACAATGCCATAGGTATGTTGTATCTTCACGTTCAGATTTTAAACAAGACATCATTTCAACTTTAGTAGTTATTAGAAATAGTTTATTTGAGTCCATTTGAGATGACATAAGCAATCCTATCTAGATGAAAAACCTTACGACGCATCTTGCTTAAACACGATTGTCAACTTCTTTTGTTAGAGTTAGTCTATGCTCATCAGATTGTTCTTCAATTCAAGGATGTAGTACACATTACAACCTGAGCAATGTCATTGATGTGCAACCTAACATTACCTTTTTCTATAACCTGCGTCTGAGAATTGTCCTTCAGTCTCTCGATTTCTCTAAACTTTGAGTCAAGAACTAAAAATCATCCTTCAATTTAACACATGTGATTGTTACACCCAAAATCCAAGAATCAAATGTGATTCTTGGAGAAGTTCTTGTTAGAGCTTCCATAGGCCATGTGTAACATGTCTTCCTCACCCTCTTACTCAACATAGTTGACATATTCTTTGAGGTTAGGACACTCATACTGAAAGTGACATAACATGTGGTATTTGTAGCACTCTATGGAACTTTTGTTGAATTTTTTCATCTACCTTGAGCACTTTTCAAGGCACCATGGCATCCCCATCTCCCTGCCATCACTGCTCTATTAGAGACTATCCAGACTCGGTCTTCTTCCTCGACAAGTTTTATCTTTTGAGTGTGAACTAAGAGGGGGGCATGTGGCTCGATTCTTCAATGCTGCATACGACATAATTGAATTTAGAGGACATGGACATGAGATTCTTCTCAACAATTATATGTTCCTCCATCTTCTCACCATGAATTTTCATCTTGATGACAATTGCTAATGTTCTTGCAAAATAATCATCAATGGATTTGTCTTCTTTCATGCAGAGAAGTTCAAATTCACCTTTAAACACTTGGAGTTGTGGCATCTTCACTTTTGTAGACCCCTGATATTTATTAGCCATTGCGATCTTTCACTTTGCTTTCTTCAACCAACTTCTGTTTGTATGTTGGTGTAGCTGGGAGAACAATAACACCTTCCTCCACAACAGTCCAATACTCCTTTGATCACAAAATATTTTCCATAAACATGACCCAGTCATCATAATAACCATCAAATTTTGAAATGGTTGGTTGGCTATATTTGCTTTCCTCCATTGGAGCTGGTAGCAGTAACCTTCAAGAACTCCAAAAAATGCACAACACGCCCTAATGCCGCAACACCTGTATTTTTCTCCCACAAATGTGCACTCAAAGATGAACAAGAAGTCACTCTAATCTTACGGAATACACAATTAATTTGATACGACTTGATAAGATAAGAAATTATGCATTTAAGACATCTCAATTTGTTCCATTGGCCAAAAACACTTAATTATTAGAATGAAAATTGTTAAAATGAAGCCAGCAACGAGTTTGGGAACCTAAAAGGAACAAATGAAAATTGTCGATTATATTTGAAGGCGTGTTTAATGCTGTGTCATGCATTGAATATCAAGGCCATGATTTGTAGTCTGCAATTCCGAAAAGAGATGATGACTGAAAAGATCTTTGCTTCATGAAAGTATGCTATTGTGTAAATTAAAATGGTTCAAATGTGCATATAAATGACTATTTAACTAAGTGACTTCAATTTGGTTGTTTGTTAGTGATGGAGGTTCATCTCTAACTTGAGGGAAGTGAAATAGTGTCAAAGGAAATATTGAAGGTAATCAAAGAAGCAGAGTGGGGACCAGGTCTATACTGGAAGTCAATGCCATTTGAATTTGAAGATTCTCCATACGATCCAGTTCATCCTAATGGAATGTCAACTATTAATATCTCTAACGTGCCTTTCCCTTTAGATGTAGTGTGAGAGAAAAATAATATACTATCATGCTTCGATGTTGTGCCTAAGGAAATATATTTCATGATTCAATAATAAATGGGTGATCATTACTTAACCATGGTTTTTCACCATGTGAGTAGTGAAGCTTGGTTCTGTTTGTGCTTTAATTACTAGCGAATCATGAAGATGACTCATACTACATTATTAGAGCCTAGCTTGCTTCATGAATAAATGATTGTTAGTCTACAAAACAAATTGAAAATTGCAAGAGCCAATTTACATGATTGTTAGTTGATACGTCAAATTTAACAGCAAAAGCGAGACAAGTAGAAACAAAGTTTGTAATTAGCAATTTTCAACAAAAGACTTGAAAGTGTAATACGTGTTCTAAAAAGGCTCAAAACTTCCTACCCTATCATTAGAAATCTATTACAGAAACTTGACAATAAACTAAAATAAAATTGATGTTACAATATTCTCTTTGGCAAGGGTTGCATAACCTCATAGTATTGTGGGATTCCAGTACTCTTTGTGCACACAACAGTACATTTAATTACATATATATTGAGCAGAATGAACAACACAAATCAAACAAAGTTATGATACATACAAGGGGGACAAAAGAAGACCCGAAATTGCAGCTCAAACACTCAACTAATGAGAAGTGCAGAAAATGATTCTACTCGAATGATGATTAGCTTACCCTATAGCTTTCAACTTTAAACAAATCTAGGCCAAAGCATATCCAAAGATAAAAACCACTATGAAGGATATGACAAGAGACAGGAAATCCCAATCGATTACTTTCAAAGGCTACTCCTGAAGGATAAGCCACACCTCATGTAGACAATTGGAACCTGCCGCTAGGCTTTTTTCTTCTCCATCCCTGATATTTTCAAATAGAAAATCTTTAGTATAGGCAAGTATTAACAAGCATAAATAAGAAAGGGGGAAGATTCTTTTTCTGAGGTAAACTTACAAAGGCGGCATAATACACAAAGGTTAATCCGGCCAAAACAACAAATGCAATTTGAAACACATTGTACCTGTATTGTGATAAACAGTAAGTCAAACAATATCACCATAGGTAATTGATAATAGTCAAAAACTAAACCAACTAGGGCGCCATATTTATAGACAACTTATGTTACTTACACCTCAACACACAAAAAAAAAAAAATAGAAATAAATTCCATAGGCCTTCGAATTCAAACATGTCAGGTCAATCTTTACGGCACAAGTCTTACAGCCTTCATTTTTTTAGACCGACTAATCTAAGAGGACCAATCCCACCGGTCCACTAGCGGAGGCCCATTTAAAACCAGAGCAAAGCTCAATATGAACTAGCCCAACACAGAGATTGTTAGCACCTACGGGATTCAAACCTGAGACCTTGAGAAAAGCGTACTCCCAGCTCTCAAGCCTTCACCAACAGGCCAACCTCTATTTAATATTAGTTGATTTTGAAGCATGGTTTCATTAAGGACTTCAATTGAAAATATGGGGTTCGATTTAATGGAAAAATACTAGGGCGCGCTGCATGGTCCAAATTTACTAGTTACCAAAACAAGGTACAACTTAGTCATTAAGACTGCATGGGAGGAGAAGAAAAAACTAGAAAAATCCAGCTTAACTCACTTGTACAAATATTTAATTCCACGAAGAGACTCCAAAGTGTGACCAAATATTTCCTGGGCTGCAGTTGCTTGGGCATAGTAGGCAAATGCCGTGGAGCAAAACTGAATCACACTGAAAGTAAAACAACAAAACTTTCAGCAAGTTGTTGCATCATAACATTATCACGACAACACATGTGTCTTAAACTATATAGAACATTATTTGCAATTGCAGCACCCCGAAACACTTGTGAGTTGTAATACTACTCAAACCATGAATCAAGTAGTTCCTTTGGCCACCAAAAAATAAAGCAATAATAAACTTTACCATGCTGAGTTAGAGGAGTTTATTAAATAAACATAATATACTATTTGGAATGGTACATACTATACTAACCTAATAGAACAAAGAAGGATAAGGCCCACATTAAACAAAAAAGAGTTCATCAGAGTTGCTCCCCACCTGCCAGAAGAATGTTCACATTGTGTATTATCAGTAATTGCATTATAAGACCAAAACAGAAAATAAAATAATAAAACAGACAGCACAGTTGAATTACTTCATGGGATGTATGGTGATGAAAACTAATCTCAACCCAAGCATCGTGGCACCAGCAATCACAGCAAGAAGGAGGTAGAAGCAGAAAAATGCAAACGCAGCTGTGCCGAGCAGACCTGTTAAAACAGAAAACTACATATATTACCTAGAATAACTGAATGAAAATCAGCAATATAACAAATCAGTAACTATGCATAGCTGAGGTGAGGAAATATAATATGTAGAAAAACTAATATATAGAATGCGTGTTCCAAATTCCTACATACCCCAGATATCATCTAGCTTGATGAAAACTTCATTCAAGAAAGGAGAAAGGGGAGGATCAATTAATAGATAGATAATGATATGAGCAATCCATGCTACTGAAACAATCAGCCTGTCAAAAAATTTAAAAACTTGGGTTAGATATTACATTGGGAACATACCTCCTTAACTAAGCAATCTATGTATAATGTTAGAAAGAATCATGCATCCATAGCAACTTTTATTATTATGTATCATTGCTTACCCTAGAATTCCAAAAACAAGTTTTGCCAGATAACCAAGAACTGTTAGTGCCCATGTTGTCTCAGCCTGCATTCATGCAGGATCAGTTAGTATGGAAAACATTATACAATGATGACTATGCCAAGAAGTTAAAAGGTTAGAAATCTGAATAGCGACCTTTTCCCCTTGTGGATACATCTCTTCAAGAAGCTTTACGTCTTCTTCCAATTGAAACAATTCCTGGAAAATTAAGTTAGTTAAGCACATTATTAGAGCCACAACACACACTATGAAAACAGCATAAGTTAAATTATTATAAAGAGTGCCCATGCCAACAAGGATATCCTTACCTTTTCTACTTCTTTTACATTTTTACGATGCTTTCTACCCTTTGCACCACTTCTTTCTTCCTGATGGAGTGACTCAGCTGCTTTCTTCAAATCTTTTGCTTTTTTACCAAGTTCAGTAGCTTCCTACAATATCCAACCAACCCCATCATAAATATAATGTCATATCATATAAGAAATGCACATATGAAGTATAAACAACAATATAATATAACTCTTCAATAACAACATATATCACCTTGATATACTGTGAGCGAGTGATAACAGCCTTTGGCCGCCGGATAAATGAAAATAAAAGTCCTAGTGGAAGACAAGCAATACCAACACCACCAAATATCTGGATCGAATAGGGAGAACACAATGGTTAATGTCATGAATAGCAAAACTAGTACGTAATAATATAATGAGGTAAGGAAGGCTTATGTAAATTCATAACCAGAGACTGCTTCTTCTTGAGTGCAGTAAGTGATTTTGTATCTTGAAAATTAACACAGTAGCATTCTCTAAAGTGAATATCATAACACAGTATGTTTATTCGCACACTAGTGGAGGAAATGACACCCACAAGAGAGCGGTAGGATTGGCTAATACAATAAAGGTCTCCTAAGTAATACAAGCAAGCCAAAACCAAGGCTAAATTTAAAGCGGGTTTTATATACAAGTTTTATGAATAATGAGCTTACAGAAAAAAGCACAGATCCAACAATAGTAGCAAGAGCTACAACATATTCTGGAAAGGTTGATCGCATGGTCCATGTTTTCTCTGATGAAGGACTAGCAGAGTATGCAGAGCACTGTTAAAGACAAATAGGACAAAAAACAGAATGAGTACAGCAAACTTATTACTTCTTCTAAAAATATTAAATATTACAGCGGAAAATACCTGATGGACACCATTTCCAACACATTGTTGACCACTGTTGAGCCCCCATGAGCCAGGAAATGTAGTTGTTGATGAAGAGAGATGCCTAACAGTAAAATCCACTTTACCAACAAGCCCTAATATATAATCACGCAATAAAAGCACAATCAAACAAAACTCATATTAATCCACAGCAGATTTGAAATATTTACGCTAAATTATGGGTGCATTGTATAGTTTCTTTCTTGAATCTAAAATGACTTTTAAGATGCTTATCCGTCATTTTTTTTACGGTGCAGAAAGGCCTATAAGAATTTGTTTGGTTTCTAACTCCAGCTTTATTTGTTGTTTTTTCTTACTGTTTGTGACTTCTTCCCTGCTACCGTTTTACTAGCATGCCTAAAAAATATTTGTTTCTCACATTAGGAGGCAAATGTATTTAAATAACAATCAAACAAATCCAATCTATTCCCCAACGCCCAATATTAGCAACTAAACTAAACACACAAAATCCTCACACTTCTAATGATCCTTCTAGACAAAACCCCTTCACTAAACTAAGAGCCCAAAAACCTAACACATTTTCCTTCACATAAACTCTGAAATATCTGCTACACTCCTGCCTGCATTGTATGAACCCTCTAAGATGTACTTCCCAAAAAAAAACAGAGAATGTGACAAAATCAACATCAACATTAAACTCTAGTTCCAATTATTAACCCAAATGCATTAATTACTCAATACTCCTTCACTAAACTAAGAGCCCAAAAACCTAACACATTTTCACTCACATAAACTCTGAAATAGCTGCGGCTCTCCTGCCAGCAATGCACGAACCCTCTAAGATATATTTCCCAGAAAAAAAAAACCCACAGAATGTGACAAATCTCAATCAACCTCTAGTTCCAATTATAAACCCAAATGCATTAATTACCAAAAACTCTTTTCTTTACATATTAAGAGACTATACTGTACTACACCAAATTAACATCAAACAAATTCATTAGGGTTCACCTAATCCTATCTATCCTTGAAAATACACTTCAACTAACACAAAAAGGACAACTCAACCCTAAAACACACACACACAGTTCAAATCAAACAAAAGTTCATATCATCCATACCATACAAAATACCCAGAACGAGAGCGCACACTACAGCCGTCGTCACCACCCAGCACAGTGCACTCTTAACCCTTTTCCCAATACTCCTGCAAACAAATTCCATAAACACCAAACATTCAAAATCCAAAACAAAAAAGGAAAAAAAACCGTTTTTTTGTTTTTTCATTTCTTCACACTAAAAAAAACAACCTACTTGTCCTGGTCGCCTTCATAGTAAAACATTGCGAACGGAATAATGAAGAAGACAAGTATAGCATCGATTACATAAACGGCGAGCCATAAATCCTTCATCGGGAGCGTGAGATTACACGCGCCATTATAAATCGCGTGCCGGCAAGCTTGCCGATTTGCCACATCGGCCGGAAGCATGAGAATCGAGATTGCGGCAACGGAAAGCCCCAAAACGACGACGAATTTAGGAAAGTAAGCCTGGTTAACATCGTCGGGATGCTGGTAGTTGACGAGGAGGTATACATTGACGAGGAAGACGATCACGCATACGACTATGGCTACGATCACGAGGGCGAGGTTGAAATCGCCCATGTTAGGGTTAGGGTTTGTTCGGATCTGATTTGGAGAGAGGAGAAGAGAGGGAAGGGAGGAGAATGAGGATTTTTGCCTCCGGTGGTGGTTTTGCTACGGTAACGGTGATGGTTTTGAGGGGGAGTGAAATGTCGGTTATGTCCTTGGTGCAGTTGAGGAAGGGAGAGGGGCTGAGGGTGGAACTGCTATGGGTATAGATGTAATTTGGAGGGGGTTGTTTCGCTGTGCAAGCGAAATTCAAAACAGGCTGTTCCCCCAAATAAAAACGAGAAGATGACGCGGTTATGTCATAGAATGATGGAATGGAGCTGGGTAATGGGTCATGGGGGCTTAACTGGCCCAATATATTCCTTTAGAAAAAATTGGGCAATTTCTCATCCCACCATTATTATATGGGCACACCTCTAAAAATTTAAAAATGATTCTAAATAAATTTGGAAACGCATTTATGTCATATCTAAAATTTGTCCGCCCTTTATTTTTATAGTCAAAAATATTTTTAATATTGGTTTTTATAATATTCTTTAGTTCAATTTTACTAATATTTTAATAATAATTTATTTCGCTCATTTAAATATATATAATAGTTTATTTCAAATAATTTGTATTTTAAATAGCAAATACTTGTTCGTTTTCGTATACTTTCAATTGGTTTTTTATTTCAAATGAGTAACATAGCACAGTTGGTAAAGAATGAAGTTTGCAAGTATGAGTAACATCAGCCTCACGCAACCTCATCCACTATTCATTCGTAGGCATCCATACGAAGCATGAGCAACCTCATATGTCCATACGTAAACAACCTTATGTAAAAGTCGTGAGCAGTCTCACACTTTCCAATCACCTGATTGATGTCTCTCGGTAACCTTACCAATATGAGTAACATTGTTATCCATTTCCCCTTTCCAAGTTGATAATATTCTAGTAGTCCTACTGACGTTGGGATAAAGTCCAGTTCATGTCTGGAATGTCTTTTCAAAAGTACAATTCTCGTCTGATAGTGTTCCAATTTCTATTTGGAAGCTAATTCTTATCCCTAGTTCTCGTCTGGTAGCCTATATTGGTTCCGCAGTTCAAATAAAATGAGCATTGCATTTATGAATCATCGCATCATTCCAATTCATATCATTATTATATCAAGCATACATATCATGCATCATGTATACATCAAGTATAATCATATCAAACTTACATACATGCATTACATTTAATCATATATGCCCATGAAAAACTGTGGAAAGTCTCAAGGCATGCTTACCAGCTAAGACACACTTAATTTCAAATTCAAGCCCAGCATTATACATTTGTCATGTTATCACTATATCTACCTCGGTTGAGAACAGACACAACTGTCAAAGGCACCGCTATCAAAATTTCACTAGGCAGCTTACCTACGACTCATATCTAAGTCCTAGTCATCACTAGCCTCTGAGAATTAAACTTTCAATTATCAAATTCAAACTTTTCAAATTCGAACCTTTGAAACATTTAACTTCATTCGGTTATTATGTTATCAAGCCTTGGTTGAGGACAAACACAACCAGTGTCATCAGCAAAACTTCAATTTCAATCTTCAAACCTAGAATTCTTCATGTTAATCGAGTCTTGGTTGAGAACAGACACAACCGACGTCGTCATTCTGAGTTCCAAATAAAAATTTCAAACCTATCCTCGTATTATCTATCCTCTAGGTTGTGGTAGGTTTGTGAATTATTAGGGTGTTATTTATCCTTTAGGCTATGATAAATACACAAGTTTATCCCCGTATTATCTATCCTCTAAGTTTTGGTAGATATGTGAATTATTAGGATTATGTTATTTATCCTCTAAGTCGTGCTAAATACATAAGCATATTATCGTGTCATTTATCTCTAGGTCGTGATAAATGTACAAATATATCCTCGTATTATCTATCCTCTAGGTTGTGGTAGGTTTGCAAATTATCAGGGTTATGTTATTTATCCTCTAGGTCATGATAAATAGATAAGCATATCCTCGTGTAACTTATCCTCTAGGTCATGATAATTGCACAAGTTTATCCTCGTATTATTTATCCTCTAGGTTGTGGTAGATATACGAATTATCAGGGTTATATTATTTATCCTATAGGTCATGATAAATATATAAGCTTATCATCGTGTCATTTATCCTATAGGTCGTGATAAACGCACAAGTTTATCCTCGTATTATCTATTCTCTAGGTTGTGGTAGGTATGTAAATTATCAGGGTTATGTTATTTATCCTTTAGGTCGTGATAAACACATAAGTCTGTCCTCATGTCATTTATCCTCTAGGTCGTGATAAATACACAAACTTATTTATCCTTTAGGTTGTGGTAGGTATACAAATATATGCGATATAGTTCATTGTGTTAGTCTCGAAGCATTAGTGAATTATCGAAATTATGTTATTGGCCTCATAGGTTGCGGTGAATATGCAATAATTGCAATGTAATCCATTGTGTTAGTCTCGAAGCGTCAACGTGTTATCAAACTTTATGGTATTTATCCCCTAGGTCGTGGTAAGTACACTAGCAATACCTTACTATGTTAGTCTCTATGCGTTAGTAAGATATTTTCAACCCGTATCGTTTACTCCCTAGGTTGTAGTAGATGTACAAAATTTGTAATATAACTCAATGCATTAGTATCGAAGCAACAATAAGTTATATGTCCCTCTATGATATAATTCATTGTGTTAGTCTCCAAGCGGCAATGGATTAACTTCGTGTTATTCATCCCCTAAGTTGCGGTGAGTATAATGAATCTGCGTTAAGCTTAGTCTCGAATCATTAGTAAGTCAACTTTCAAACATGTGTTATTTACCTCCTAGTTTATGGTAAATATGCAAGTCTACGATCTCTTTTCTAGATATTGACGGGTTATCCGCGTCGTCATATCTAGGTCAATCTTACTCTTCAATCATACTCTTTTGTCCAAACTCTGGTAGGATAATACATCATCATCTTTGCCTATTTTCTCCATACTCTTGAGGAAGATGTACAGTGTATCCCTATTTAGCCAAGCGTTGGTCAAATTTTAGGGTCTTCTATTATTTAATAACCTTCTGATTCGAATGTGTGAGACATGCATATTCTTGCACCCTCGATCAAAGAGTAATTAAATAGGGGTAGCTCTCATACCCCAAATTTGTCGGTCCTTTATTTCTACCGTCAAAAATATTTTCAACATTAGTTTTTATAATATTCTTTGGTTCAATTTTACTAACATTTGAACAATAATTTATTTCACTCATTTAAAAATGTATAATAGTTTATTTCAAATTATTTGTATTTTAAATAACAAATACTTATTCCCTTTCATATATTTTCAATTGGGTTTTTATTTATTTCAAATGAGTAGCATAACACAATTAATAAAGAATGAAACTTGCAAGTATGAGGTTGTGGGTTCGAATCTCTTAACTCTATAAATCATGTTATCACATATTCATAGTAAATCAATAACAAAATCTAAGAATTTATTTTTGTTATCTTTGTTTGCTTAATCTGCATATTAAAGAAGAAAGGAGAAGAGGACCGAGACCACTGCGACACTCCTCTGCAGATCGCGTCTTCCCTCTGTCGAAGCAAGCACACTGTGAATCGCCGTAGATGCGACAAATCGCCGCAGCTCCGGCTGAAGTCGACGCCCCAAGCCACGGCTGATCTCAATCACCACCGTCACGGAATAACGAACGCCCATCAGACCATCGCAAACAATGACCGATAGCAACCGCACATCATCTGTCGAATCACTCCCATCCGCTATTTTTGGTACCCATTTTTTCTTTATTGTTTCGTATATTTGATTTATGAATGTTTTGTTGTTGTTTGATTTATGCGTTTGAGAATACAAAGTGAGAGGGGGATAAGTTGAAAGGAGTTTTTTTTCGGAGAAATTTTGAAGAGTAATAAGGAAAGAGGTATGTAGAAGAAGAAGAAAGAATGTGTGAAGTTTTTTTTGCTTTTTTCTTTCTCTGTTTGGTGCATCCACTTAGACCATGTGCAATGGTGTGTTTAATTGAACTCAACATGGCAAAATCATGTGCAATGGTGTGTTTAGAGTAGTGTTGAGTGTGTGTTGGAGGAGAGAGATGTTGAGAAAACTTAACACCATGTACACTGACGCATGGGCTGACGTGGCAGCGGCTGGTTGGCTGACCAGATTTTTATCCATTTAATACTTTGAACTCAATTATTTCGTTGCAAATTAATTTTTTTTTTTTTTTTACCAAAATTCATGATTTTTTTTCTCTATAAATAGAGACTTGGTTCATTTGATTTGGACACAGAAAAAAAAACTAAGTTTTTCACTATCTTAATTTTATTATTAGTGTTTATTTTGAAGTTAAGTATTTATTATTTTAATTTAATTTTAATCGATAATTGTAATTTTATGTAATCATAAAAATAAAAATAAAATTTAAATAAGAATATGAAAATAAAAAGTGGTGGGGTAGGGTGCTGAGTGAAAAACCATTGGAGAGGGTAAAAGTTGAATGGGTGTTGAGTTATTAGGTGGAAGAAAGAGAAAATGATGTGGAGTGTTGGGAGTTGAAAAAGTGGGTGTTGAGTTTTTCAACCATTGTAAATGGTCTTAGTAACATCATTGTTATTTTCTTTTTGTAAATGTTTTGCCACGTGTCATGTTTTAATTGTGAAGAATGATAAGAGTGAAATGGTAAAGGAGGGGCGTTACCCCTGAGCAATGAGCATATATTTGTTTTTTTTTTGTTTTTTTTTTAAATTAATCAATAAACTATAGTTTGGATTAGGGTTATTTATTAGTTGGGGCCTTGGGCTCAAATTTACAAATATTTTCCTAACACCGCCCTATTTTTAATATTACACTCTTAAAATCTTAGTTACTTAATTTAGTTAATTAAGTGTAATTGTAATTAGGTGTTTAATTTTATTTAATAAATAATTTAGTTTATTGTTTTAGTATAATGAAAATTAAAAAATATAAAAACACTTCTTTGTAAGTTATTTTAATTAAACTAATTCGTTATTTTACAAAGGTATTAAAATCCACGCAACTCACCAAATACTTTGTCCGCGAGTGATACGTGGTCAATCTCTGGCCACGTGATAAGGAAGACTTTGACAGACTTCCTCTGCATCCTTCATGACAAGCAACACGTGGCCAAATCTTGCCACGTGATGAGGAGACTTTATCATACTCCCCTCACTCTGTATCTTATCATACTCTTTAATCAGATCGAAAACAACTAACCGATCTCAAATCATTTTTTTTCACTAACATAACAAAATCCAAGATATTTCCGTAAAAAGGATCGGGGAGAATTTCTTTCAAAATTAACTATGAACTGCGTCT